GAGAGAGAGAGAGAGAGAGAGAGAGAGAGAGAGAGAGAGAGAGAGAGAGAGAGAGAGAGAGAGAGTGCAAGCAAAGGTCCTCTTTCACGTAAAAAGGAGGGTCACTGCAAGGAATCTAAGGGGTCCCTCCACTAAGTAAGCAAAGGTCCTATCACCAAGCAGGGGTGGGCACCGTATTTGCAAAACCAAGAACGGGCCATGAATATATAGTGTGAATTCGAATTCAGATCTATGTTTAAGCAGTTATGGGTTGCTATCTTAGCCAGGCCCTGTTGGGCTCTGCACGTGATTCTCAGAGCTTCTTACTGAATGTGCAAAACTCGAATGAATATTCTGCTAGAACATGGAACCATACGCCGCCATATGTTTTGTCTTGTGTGCATGTAGTAAGTAGTGGACCGAGATTTAGGGCCACTCCATCATAAGAAAAGAAAAACAAAAAAAAACTTTAAAAAAGAGAATCTTGTGCAGAGATCTGGCCTAGCGAAGTTAGTAACCCATAACTGCTCCACAGACCTGAACTCAAATCCAGAGCATATATTTGGCCTGCCCACGCCCTGCTCACGCTTCAACGACCATCTCTGCTTCATGATGAGCTCTTGCCAGTTTTCTGCAAGGGTCCTTCGCAAAAGAGATTGGGAAATAGAACATGCACACGCAGTTTTTAGGCTTAACGTGGCCCCAATTTTTTTTCGTTTGCACTCATTTTTTTAGAAGGGAGGGGGCGTGTTTGGTCATCACACCCTGCCCTTCCCGAATTTTTTTACTGACCCCTATTTCGGGGATGCGCCGCATCACGTGCGCATGCGCTCTGCGCCGCATGTGCCGCGACCCCGCGCACGGGATGCACCGCAAGTATGGAATGAATTCAAGCTAAAGTTCTGCTAAACAGAATGGAATCAACGGATTCATACATTATGATTGCTCTTTCTTTCTTTTTTGGAATTCAGAGTCTTCACTTTTTTTTTTTTTTTTTTTGGGACCATTTCTCGATTTATGTGTGTCATCCTTGCGCAGGGGCCATGCTAATCTTCTCTGTATCGTTCCAATTTTAACGGATGTCCCGAAGGACGGAGTCTTCAGACTCTAAAAGCATGTATTGGAGAAAATTGTACCGTTATTTGGAGTTAGGGTTCAAAGGATAGAACTAGCCTCATCAGAGTCGCCCCGGGCAGCTCTACATGGAGGTGCAACCATACTTCCAGGTGCGCACTGTTAGTTGGGTCTGGTTTCTTCATTTCAAAACCCAACAAGATGGCTGTCTCTGTACTTATTCCCGTCGAAAGTTGGAACTTGGATTTTCAAACTCTGATATGTTCTCCTTGTTTTCCGCAGGTCCCATTGTTTGCCCAGATGGGTGAACCCCTCCAGAAGGACATATGCAGACGGCTAAAGCTGCAGCTGTTCATGAAGAAATCCCCTGTGGTACTGCAAGGTGACCCAATGAACGCCATGTACTTCCTTCTGAGAGGATCTGTTGAGGAGAGGACAACCTATGGCTCCCAACAATCTTCTGTCGTTGTTGGGCACTTCAAGGAAGGGGAGGTTATTGGTCTGGAACTTCTGGATTACTTATTCAGCAGGAGCCAACTAGGTGAACTTGGCAATGATGGTGGCCTAAGCAGAGCAGAGCAGAGCCAACGAGAACAAGAAAGAGGAGGACAAAGAGGAGGAGGAGGAGGACAAAGAAGGGAGGTTCGTGGTGATAATGCAATACCTGTGACGCTGAGATTCGAGAGCAGGAACATCATAACGCATGGCACTTCAGGAGACGATGGTCAAGCAGTTGAAAGTGGGCAGTTCCTTTCCCCATATACTCTTATGTCTCTTGAGTTCGTGGAAGCTTTCCGATTGTCTGCAGAAGACATAAAGGATATCATTCAAAGTTTCCAAAACGAGGCATCCCGACTGCAACGATCCCAACGACATCAGCAGCGTGCAGCCTTGCGGAGGAGGTCCATGGCATGGCAAGTATGGGCCGCCATGACCATTCAAAGAGCCTGGAGATCGCATCTCAGAAGACGAAGCTCACAGCTTCTACGCCTACAACGCACCAGTTCGAACACACCCCAGCAGCAGTTACATCACCGCGTGCATACCACTGGTCGGCGATTCAGAAACGATTAAATTGCAGTTGATCTTGTACCCAACTTTCAGCATTGTGTCTTTCAGAGAGAAACCCCTTTATTATTGCCGTGTACACGAGAGTTTGAATGTTGAATTCATGACTGCACCTGATTATCATTCACCATTGTGTCTTCAGAACGAGGATCTCCATCAACTGATGAGCCCTGGCCCCAATTTCTTATCATGTCCATCCCATACCAGTGCCTCGTCGGATATGTGTGGGCTCTGGGTTGCAGGGCGTTGTGATAAAAAATTGGGATATTGCAGCCGTTATCTGTAAATGGCAGTTGGTTCTTCAGCGTGAGGAAAAGTCCGAGCATCCTGAGTGGACGGGCTTCAAAAGTTGTGGAGATGTCGGCTGGAGAGAATGCTTTCTGGTAGGGGATTGACATCAAAGCTGCCTTCCATTGTTTTGGGGTTGACATGTGTGCTGCCTCCCGAGCAATAGGATGAGTGGGCGGTTCGGTGGGGATTGAATCTCTGCTTTTGATTGACGGTGGTGGCCGGATGGAGAACTTGTAGTGTTCCTTGGGCTTGTGCAATGAAGAGCGAATGAAGGACAGGTGAAAAGCACGTTTCTGGTAACAGGGATTGACACTAAAGCTGCTTCCCCCTCACTTGTGTGATGTTAGCTGCCTACTATCTGTACAAAGAATGGGATGTGGGTGGGGATACGAAAGGAGGCAAGCGGTTGAACGAGTTTCTCCTGAATATGTGCCATCTTGTGCTTCATTTTATGCGTCCTCGTGCAGGATGTTTGACTAGCAGAGACCTTCTAGAACGTAGGTGGTGAATATGGGGTGAGAGTGGTGGAGAGGCAGTTACTGCTAGACGATTCACTCCAGAGCCGCCTCCCCTCGTTTTGGGATTACACTGTAGCTACCCTCCCAAACGACAGGATTTGTGTATAGAAGCGGCAAAGGATGGGTGGTGCAGATATCCCTGTTTTTGTGACCATGTATGCGGTTGAGGTGTTCGCATTTTGGTCTCAAGTAGATTTTGTTTTAAGTTATGGGAGTCTCCAACGTTGTAGGAGGAAGTAGGGAGTAGTAATGGTGCTGAGATGACTGGCGCTAGGAGATTGACACCAAAGCTGCATCCCCTCATTTCGGGATTGACGCCATAGCTGTCTCCAATCGACTGAAAGGTGGAAGGAGGGTTGAAGGGTGTTTGGTCAGGAGATCCGCAGCTTTTGTTAAAAATGGTGAGGATCTTGCTGCACGCCTGTTAGGAAGGTGGTAGGGGATGGAAAAGAAAGAGAGGGGTAAGTGGGCTGCAAGGAAGGGGGACTGACAACGAAGTTGCCTCCCAGCTGCAGGAAGGGTGGAATCAAGATGGGGGATGAAAGGAAGTGAAGGGTTGGGTGAGATCCTCTCCAAATTTGGAAGATTTGATTGTGGTCAAATAAGCAATGGAGTAGGGTGTGATTCTCCTTTGTCTGCCAATCATTGGTTGAAATGTTCGCTGAGATTGGTTGGCAGAAGGAAGCTAAAATTAGGACGTTGGATTCTGGCCTCTGAAATAGGGTGAAGAGGCTACTTCCGTTTGACTGGATGCCCTCCACAATAGGAGGTAATGAACGCCAGAAGGCTTTCAGCTTGTCATCATCTTTTTTCCAATCGGTCTCATCTCTTCTCTTTTCTATCTTCTATCAAGTAAGTTCAATGAATTTGACTTCTCTCTTGTTGAGAATTCAAAGATTCCTTGTCAATCCTTGAGTAACTCTCTCTCACACACAAGCGGATATTCTGCCTCAGGAAAATCAATACAACATTATTTTACCCACACACGTATCCCTACAGACTAAGAACTACGAAATCCTTTTTTTTTTTCAAAGCGAACCCAGGTCTGGCGTAACGGGCCCACCAGAAACTCGGGCTGCTGTGGGACCCGGGGCCGGCGCAGGGGGGGGGGGTCGGCTTTGGAAAGTAGGTGTTGCCGTTGATGTCGCAAAAGTTCTGAGCCAGGTTTTCCCGTTGAGATCGTGAGGGGTGCTGCAAGGGGGGCCGTGGGCTCGAATTTCGACTCCGCTGTCTTTTCGTGCGAGCTTCAGGCCAAGGTCATGCGCGTCCTGGGACGTCCGAATACTACTACTTAGGGTACATAGCATTTTGGCTCTCCATTCCTGCACGCCGGTATCTTCCCATGTTCTAGTGGACGATTCGTTCTCATTTTGCACCTTTGGTGAGTAGTCAGGCAATCCGCGCCAGCAGGAGCGGGAGGGCGTGAGGAATGGAGAAAGGAGGAGGGGAGGGACGCCACTCTATTCGTGCACGCCTTAACAGGAGGAGCGCGACAAGGAGCTGGAGTCCAGGATGAGGGGAAGCAGCAGGGAAAGGAGGAGGAGGAGGAGTAGCGGGCAGAGGAGGAAAGGGAAGACGGCTATCTATTCATGTGTGCAGCAGTATCTTTCGGCCCGACAGTGAGGCCGGACCTGTTTCAGGCTGTGGGCTTGACCCCGGTCCAGTACTGGGTTACTCCGGCCTGGACCGAGGCCAGTATATCTCTCCGGCCTAGGCCCAGGCCGGGTTGGTCATTCATTTGGTTGGTTCGTTCATTCATGGATGGGGACTGGACCTTCACTCAGCTGCTGCTTCTCGTGTGTGTCCATCTCCT